CATGCTTGTTAGAGATTGCATGCTTGTTAGAGATTGCATGAATAAGAGTATTGTCACAAACTAATGGTTCGCACCAAGCATACATACAAGCACACAAGCAATTGATTATACAGTCTTCTTTCTTCTTTCTATCGTGTCTTCTAAAGTATTTTACTTACCTTTTGCGCCATGGTACGCCTACGACGTTCCCATGGTCTTCACGTACGACATACGGTTTTCTAGCCCTTTTTCCTGGAGCTTGTCTCCTCGTGTCGTTTCTGTTTCATTGGGTTTTTTCGTTGTCTAATGATAAGCAACAGTTTGTTTGAGTCTAAGAGAACCCAAGATGCGCTCGCGTTGAGCCAAAGCAGCCTTACAAGATAACCCTTTTTGTAAAAAGTGCCCAGCGCACGGCTCCACCTGCAACAAATGCGGGAAGGCGAATCACTGGGCAAACGTATGCCGTTCGCAGGGGAGAGACGGGGCACATGGAAGGGGCCAGCAACGCGGACGCTGGCGCCAGAGGAGCCCCAGCCCGCGGGAGCGCTACCCCCAGAGGAGCCCCAGCCCACGGAGACGCTTCGACGCACTGCATTTCGACGCCGTCATCATCGACAGCGTCGAGCGTCACCAACCGCCACTAGAGCGAGAGGTGTTCGCGACCCTCAATGTCAGCCTGGACAACACCAACAGACCGGCCACCTTGAGAGCCAAGGTGGATACGGGGCGCCCAGGGCAATATATTGCCGCTGAGAGTGTTCTGCCAAATGTTTCCCCAGCACGTCGGACCAAACGGATACCCAAAGCCGAAGTCCGTGAAGCCGTCAAGTACCACCCTCACAGCGTACGGCGGATCCAAGATAAAGCAATGCGGAACCCGTCCTATTCCGTGCTCTTACGATGGCAAGAGTCAACTCGCTGACTTCTACATCACGGACTGCCCTGGCACTGCTATCATCGGCCTCCCGACAGCGACAGCCCTGCAGTTAGTCACGCTGAACTGCGCTGTCCAGGAGAAGCCAGCGAGCATCCGAGACAAGGACGACCTGATGAAGCAATACCCGAAGTGCTTCGATGGCATTGGGAAATTCCCAGGCAAGTACCACATCACAGTGGACCCCAACGTCGTCCCGGTTGTACACCCTCCACGCCACCTCCACGCCATCGCACTGAGAGACGAGATCAAGACGGAGCTGGAGGACATGATCCAGAACGGCATCATCACCAAGATCCAGGAAGGCGAATCAACAGCATGGGTGAACAGCCTCGTGTTCCGCCTCAAAGACAATAGCAAGCTACGCCTGTGCCTAGACCCCAAGGCCTCAATCACGCCATCCTGCGAGAGCACCACGTGGTCTCCACCATTGAGGAGATCACCCCGAAGTTGAGAGGTGCCAAAGTGTTCTCGATCGTCGACGTCAAATGTGGGTACTGGAATGTGGAGCTCGACGACGAATCCAGTTACCTCACCACCTTCAACACACCATTCGGGCGCTACAGATTCCTTCGCATGCCATTCGGCCTCAAGATGTCGCAAGATGTCTTCCAAGCAAGGATCGACCAGACGTTCGAAGGGTGCTCAGGCGTCACCGGCATCGCAGACGACATCGTCACATACGGGACGTCAGACGAGGACCATGATCTCAACATGCACCAGATGATGGTTCGCTGCGAACAATCTGGTCTCAAGTTGAACCCAGACAAATGCCGCATCAAAGAGGACAAGATCAAGTTCTTCGGCATCATCTGCAGCGCTGACGGAATACAGCCCGACCCGAAGAAGGTCTCAGCGCTGAAGCAGATGGAGCACCCCGAGAACGAGGACGAGCTCCAGACGTTCCTCGGGCTAGTCACGTACATGAGCCCGTTCATACCGAATGCCAGCACACTGACCGCGCACCTGCGTGAGCTGACCAAGCCAGATACACCGTTCGCCTGGACAGACAGCCACCAGCGCACCTTCGACAAGGTCAAGGCCGCCATTTCGACAGAGGTAACGCTCAGTTACTTTGACCCAGGCAAGGCAACGACACTACAAGTCGACGCTTCCATGAAAGGTCTCGGCGCCACTCTGCTGCAGGACGACAAGCCTGTTGCATTCGCCAGCAAGAAGCTTACCGAGACGGAGTCTCGCTACGCCAATATTGAGCGTGAGCTCTTAGCTGTCGTATACGGGTGTGAAAGATTCCACACCTACCTATTCGGTCAGTCATTCACAGTAGAATCCGACCACAAGCCGCTGGAGTCAATCAAGCTCAAGCACCTCCGCGCAGCCCCGCCGCGTCTACAGCGCATGCTGCTGAAGCTGCAGCCGTACGACATGACCATCAAGTACCGCCCCGGAAAGGACATTCCGATCGCAGACGCGCTATCCCGACTGTCGCCAGAGGAAACAGAGCCAATTGAGGACCTCGACGTCAGTGTACACGCCGTGTTCCCGCAATTCAGCGATGCAGCGATGACGAGGATCCGCGAGGAGTCGGCTAAAGACGCCGAGATGTCAGCACTGAAGGAGATGATCTTCAGTGGCTGGCCATCAGAGAGGAGCGCGGTGCCGGCAATTCTGCTCCCGTACTGGAATTTCCGCGACGAGATGAGCACCGAGGACGGTCTCATCCTGAAGAGCAGTCGCGTCCTGATTCCCCCGCCAATGAGGGGGGAAATCCTCAGCAAGCTGCACGCCAGCCACCAAGGCATAGAGAAGACCAAGCTGCGAGCCAGAACGTCCGTCTTCTGGAAGGACATCAACAAGGATATCGAAGCAACTGTCTCATCTTGCACGACGTGCCAGCGCCACCAGAGCAGTCAAGCCAAGGAACCACTGATGCAGCCCGATATTCCGCCAAGGGCATGGCACACCTTAGGCACGGACCTGTTCTACCTCGGCGGGTCAGAATACCTCATTGCCGCCGACTACTACTCCAAGTACTTTATCACCCGGAAGCTGCCTGCCGGACAAGCGACCAGCAGGGCCATCATCCAGCACCTCAAGGAGATTTTCGGTGAGCACGGCATCCCAGCCGTGCTGAAGTCGGACAACGGGCCGCAATACAGCAGCCATCTGTTCGCGGAGTTTGCTGCCGAATATGGATTCCGCCACAGTACGTCGTCGCCACATCACCCGCAGAGTAACGGGTTTATCGAATCGCAAGTCAAGATCGCTAAGAGAGCTCTCGAGAAGGCAAGGGAGAGTGGGACCGACCCGCACTTAGCACTGCTGTGCATTCGCGCCACCCCAGTGTGCCAGGGCTTACCGTCGCCGGCCGAGATGCTGTTCGGTCGTCAGGTACAGGACAACCTGCCTCGCAAACACCAGCGCGACACTCGGGACGAGGCCATCCGACAGAAGCTCGAGGAACGGCAGGACCAGCAGAAAGTACACCATGACCAACGAGCGCAGTCTCTCCGCCCCCTAGTTCCTGGTCAGCACGTCGGCATCCGCAGCCCGACCACGCACCTGTGGGAACCTGGTATCGTAACCCAGTCTGTCAACGGGCCACGGTCATACATGGTGCAGCCTGACCATGGGACAGAAGTGCGGCGCAACCGTACCCACCTCAGAGAGAGGCGGGTCCACTTCCCGCCGGATGCCAGTCTCGCAGGCCCTCAGCCGTCGAGTGACGTGCCGTCGCCGTGGAGCGACGTTAGCCAGTCTCAGCCGCCGTCACCGTGTGACGTCAGCCAGCCTGCTGAACCTGCCACCCAGCTGTATCGAACACGGTCTGGCCGCGCAGTCGCACCCAGGTCAATCCTGGATGTGTAGGGCCAGAGAGGCCTCATGGACCTGTTCGCTTATGTCACAGTAGCTGAGGTGCCATTGTTATATTGTACATAGAGCTATTGTTGGATACTATGTCTCTGTATTGTTAGCACGCCATCGTGTGCCATTCATGATTGTTACCTTGTACATAGAGCTATTGTTGGATGTTATGTTCTATATTGTGAACACGCCGTCATATACGTACGGTATGTTATGTAGGTTGTTAAACTCCTTTATGACGAAGGGGATGTTGTATTTTGATGTAATGCATTACGTAGCCATGCAAGAGCATGCGCGAGATACGCATCTCGCAGCTGCCTACTTTCATGCAGCATCCTTTAGATGTCGTGGTTCTTATGATTTGCCTACAATGGCCAAGTGAGAATATAATCCTATCGTAAACAACTAACTTGTTTACCCCGAAACAGAGGGGTAGTAGTGACTTGTTGCGGTAATATTCATGAGCTCACTCAGATAATAACCACTAGGATGTCCACGTTGTCCAGTTTACATAAAGATCACTAGAACTCTAGTGAACAGCAAGTTATGACCTATAATAGAGCAAGAGAGCAAGGGTACTGTCTTTCCTCATTCTTTTCGAGCTGGGTGTGTGAACATAGGGAAAATTAACTCTACGCAGCTAGGGTACGATGCAAGCCAGAGTGGCTAGGTGATTTTAAGGGTACAAGGTAGACCGGCTAGCGGCACCAGGTCATGCACTCTGGTTATGTGGGTAACCCAAAAGGTAATAATGTATGCCGAATGCAGGCAGCATCACCGGGGGGGGGGGGGGGGGGGGGGGGGGGGGGATGCACACTTGCTACTGTAGCCCCTTTGAGTCGATTGTGTGCGTCGCTTGCCTTTGTCATTTCCCCTTTTTTCCTTCGTGAATCTGATGCGCGGCGTTCAAGAAAAATGTGAGCCTCCTGTTGTCTCCTGGTGTCTTGTGTGATGTTGTCTGTGTGATGTTGTCTGTGTGATGTTGTCTTGTGCGATGTTGTCTCGTGCGATGTTGTCTCGTGCGATGTTGTCTCGTGCGATGTTGTCTTGTGCGATGTTGTCTGTGTGATGTTGTCTGTGTGATGTTGTCTGTGTGATGTTGTCTGTGTGATGTTGTCTGTGTGATGTTGTCTGTGTGATGTTGTCTGTGTGATGTTGTCTGTGTGATGTTGTCTGTGTGATCTCTTTTAACCACCATGCTTGTACCTGCGTGTGCATTCAAATGCTGGCAATCTGCTGCACTTCTGATGCCTGTTTGTAGATTGTGAAGATTGCGATGACTGGTTCCGTGGAGATTGTCCCAACTGCGGACCATTGCAACCTCTCAACAGTGAAGCAATGGGTAGCAAACCAGTGCGCAGTCAACACACTTCTCTGCTCATTCCGCCAGAGATCAGAATTGGGAAATCTAAAATTGCTGGTGCTGGTATGGGAGCATTTGCAAAGACGTTCATACCGAAGGGCACCCGGATTGGTCCGTACACAGGAGAGGTGATTGAAGAGGACGGTTTGAATCCCGAACGGGACAGCAGCTACATGTGGGAGGTAAGAAGCTGTTTTGCCTGGCAGATGATGGTCCGGGATTCGCAACTGCCCTATGAGCTTACCAACGATGAATGGTGCAAGGCTCCTGGCCTGTTTTAGGTTAGGGGGGGGGGGGGGGTGTCAAGGACTTAGCTTGGGGTTCATTCCTCTTATTTCAAGGCGTGAACATATACACAACCGACATCAGAACACAACACAGTAACTTTTTATAGAAGACAAATTGCTATAAGCTAGTCAGGATACACTCCTGAGGGATTCCCCTGACTGGTGTGTGTGTGTGTGGGGGGGGGGGGGGAGCGTGTGTGTGGGTAAGCGTGTGTCTGTGTCTGCGCGCAGAGAGGGTGGTGGTGGTGTTGGGGTGGGGTTATGCAGCTAGTGTACGTTGTCATGGCGATGATCAGACAGCAGGCATCTCTATAATCGTGTAATCTTAGTTCGCGTTATGGGTCATACCGTTATGTATCAATCCTTCAGAATTGTGCTCGGTGGGCATGTGCAGTGAGAACTGACTGTACCAAGTTGCCTTTGACCAATGAACTTGTTTCCAACTTAGGAGTTAGGACGGATGATGGTCTCATAGTAAGATAAGTACTTGGGACCCAGAGTATGTACCTGTGATGGATGGCTGGCATGGCACATTGCCCGGGGTTAGATCACAACAGCATCGTGAAGTGTATGCAAGCAGGATTTAAGTAGATCCCCTGCTGCATAAGTGCAGCTCAGCCGTACACACAATGCCACTTTCGGCACCATCTACCTGCACCCACCGGGATCCTCTCTGAGACAGAGGCTGCGTATTTTAACCTTGGTGTGTTTGGTGTAACACCGGCATCCATGCAAGTAACTTACTCCCAATCCACACCGTGTTTCTGCAGATTGCACCAACAGCATCTGGGAAGAAACGGTTGGTTGATGGCAAATCGGAGAAACATGCCAATTGGATGAGGTTTGTGAACTGTGCTCGTAACGAGGAAGAGCAGAACTTTGTCGCTTACCAGTACAAAGGTGAAATCTACTATCGGTCATTCCGTGACGTTCGGCCGCACGACGAACTTCTCGTTTGGTATGGCAAAGAGTATGCAATGGAATTGGGCATTGCAATGGAGACCGCATTGTCACTGCAGACATCTGAGCCAAAGCAAGACGTGCAAATAGGTAAGGTCTACATTTGCATGTGCACACACACACACACACACACACACACGAATACACATGCACACACACACACATGCACGCACGCACACACGAATACACACTTACAAACACACACAAACACATATACACATACACACACACATCAGCGCATGCTCACTGTAGATGGGCAACACTACAACAATGCAAGTCTGGAGGTAGCCATTGCAGGCTTCGTCTTCAAGCTCTGCGAGTTCTCTACTGCAAGCATGCACGCATGCGCACACTATACATATGTACATGATTACATCACTACATCTCCCCCTTCAAATAAAAAAAGAAGAAGAAATCAAAATAAAGGAACAAAGTGAAGAAGGAAAAGCCAATTAATTAAAGAGAAAAAACAAAAAGAAGAAAAGGAAAAAACCGAAGCGAATGCGCATGCCATGCGCCAGTCATTAAAAACTGCAAATCACTGAGAAAAACAAAACAAAACACAACCACGCTACATACTACCGACAAGCGGCTGTGAACGAGGAAGAAAACAAAACAAAAAAATGTTCAGCACAAAAAAAACCGGTAAAATGGTCTCTACGTGTCCATGGACACACTGTCCTGCAGCAGCAGCAGCAGCAGTCATCCATAAGCCGCTCTGGCCTTCTCTGTAAGGGTTACCTGACGGCCAGAACGGGTTTTCATGCCATCATGAAATCGCTTGGGAGACTCACTGGCTGGTGAGCTGGTCTGATCCCTGCAGACATCGCTAGGAGAAACTGGACGAGGCGAAGAACACGCGGGTGAGGCGTCAGCAAGTGCAGAACGGGTGAGAGGGGCCTCAGCTTCCGTTGACGCTGGCACCAATGGCTCACTACCTGTCGCCGATTGTGGTGCGGCCGGGCTAGTCGGAACCGGAACACTAACAGGAGGCGTGGACAGCGGTGACTTGGGTACGGAGGCAACAAACTCAGGCCAATCAGACGATGCAGCAGCAGGTGAGACCAATTCTCTGACATGTTGGCGGTTACGAAGCAGAATCCGGACACCGTCGGTTACTCCCACTTGCCTCCCGTACTGCTCCACCACGGTCCACGGCTTGGCTGGATCATTATATCCGTCATGGAGGATCACCCGCTTGCCCGCCTGCAGATGTGGCAAGGCCTTCACTCCACGACGAGCGTCATGATCACGTGCCATTGTGGCCTTGGCTCTCAGCTGGATGCTGGGGTTGACAATGCGAGGAGGGATCATGGTAGGAACTCTGCTACGCAATGGGCGAGAGAACAGAGCCTCGTTTGGAGAGGTTCCCAACATGCGGTGTCGGGAATGTCGGACGTCGAACAGAACCTGGTTCAGTCGTCGACGGAAAGGTAAATGAGGCTTCAGTGCCACCATTCTTTCCTTGACGAGACGATGGAGTCGTTCCACCATGCCATTGGAACGTGGATAACGTGGGCTGGAGCGGATGTGACGAATGCCCAGCCGCTGCAAGAAGGTGGTCATCTGCTCCGACACAAACTGTGGCCCATTATCCGAAACCAGTACAGACGGTAGACCGAATAGGGCAAACACTTCATCTAGCTCGTCCACGATAGCTGTAGTGGTTGTAGAGGACAGAACCTTGAGGATAGGGTACCGGGAGCCATAATCAATGAGGGAGAGAACAGAGTGGCCCTCAATAGATACCAGGTCGATTGCCAGTTTCTCCCACACGCCTTCAATCTCAGTGGGGAGAAGATCTTGCGGACTGTTTGTGCGACGTCGCCAACACTCGGAGCAACGTTCCACATACAGACTAGCGTCCTTGGTGAGCCCTGGCCACCAAACCCTCTGCCGGAGGGAATCTTGAAAGGCTTCCTGGCCCGGGTGTCCCTCATGCGCTAATGCCATGACGGAATGGCGTAGCCCTTCTGGTATCACAACACGTGCCGACAATAGCAACACACCGTCAGCTGCAGTGAGTTGATCTCTGACGAGATAGTACGGCTGCTCAGCGGGCGAGGCATCGCGCCAGGATGAGGTGAGCACACGCTGCAGGACACTGTGGAGCGTTGCGTCGTCTTGAGTGGCACGGCGGATCTCCTCAAGGTTGACTGGTGCTGCCTCAAGAACCATGTTGACGTACTCATTCAATGACCGGGACTCAGCTGGAGACGAGACAGTGGTCTTCAGCGGAGCACGAGACAAGGCGTCAACGCACAACAGTTGCTTTCCTGGGATGTGCTTGAGTGAGTACGAATACGGCATCAGAGAGACTAGCCAACGCTGGAGACGTGGTGGGACGTCATCGAACGGCTTCTGAACTATATGGAGCAGTGGTCTGTGATCCGTGAAGACGTCCACATCCCGGCCCAGAACGTACTGGCGGAAACGAGTTAGAGCGAATACCACACCCAACATTTCACGCTCCATCTGCGAATAGCGTGTCTCCACATCAGTCAATGATCGGCTGGCACAAGTGACTGGCACCCACTGGCCCTTGTCGTCGTGCTGCCAGAGGATAGCGCCCAAACCTTGAGGCGAAGCATCGCAGCTGACAGCCGTACGAACATCTGGAGATGGGCGGAAGTACGCCAATGTCTGCAGAGATGAAGCGACTGCCTGCTTTACTGCGTTGAATGCCGCAATCAGGCTCTCAGTAGCTACAAATGGCTCTGGCTGCTTGACGATCGAACGAAGTGGCTCAGTTACTTGAGACAGCTGAGGAACAAACTTGCCCAGATAGGTGACCATCCCGAGAAAACGCTGAACGTCGGCGAGGCACGTGGGCTCCGACAGTTCACTGATAGCTTGAAGCTTGCATGTGTCGGGTTGAACACCTTGCTTCGTCAGGACATGGCCGAGATACTTGACACATGTCAGTCGAGTGCGACACTTGCCCCAGTTGAGGCAGAGATTAGCAGCTTTGAGTCGTTCCAAAACGCTAGCGAGCCGTGCATCGTGTTCCGCCCGGTTGCGACCATACACCAAGACGTCATCTATATAGACAACAACACCAGGCAAACCCGAAAGGAGATCAGTTACAACACGCTGAAATATCTCGGGAGCACAGGATATGCCAAATGGCAGTCGTTTGAAACGATAGAGACCACAGTGTGTGGTAAACGTGGTAAGCGGTCGGGATTGGTCGTCAAGCAAGAGCTGGTGAAAACCAGACTCTGCGTCCAAAACCGAGAAAACTTCCGCTCCCGCAAGCTCCGCAGTAATCTCATCAATGGTTGGCAATGAACGTCGCTCTCTAACAATAGACTTGTTCAACTGCCGATAGTCAACACATAAACGCAAGGTGCCGTTTGACTTACGGACTGGGACGATCGGCGATACCCATCCAGACGCTTCCTTAACTGGCTCGATGATATCTGCCTTGACAAGACGATGCAGTTCATGTTCAATGTCGGCCTTGGCGCTGAATGGGGGACGTCGTGCTGGTTGAGCCACCGGCCTAGCTTCAGCATCCACGGAGATGGAAATTGGTGCGGTGTCAACCAAATTGCCAGTGTCCACCAGGTGCGCTGGAACCAACAGCTCAAGTTCAGAGATCACATCCTGGCCGAACAGAATACGATGTTTCCCATGGGGTACAACAAAACAACTACAAGACATGGTACGCGTAGGAGATGCAATGGTTACATCAGCCATGCCTAAAGTTGCAATCTCCCCGCCTGTGTACGCCTTGAGGACACGATTACTGCTGCGGGTAGGCTGGACAATGTCATCGGTGAGAATAGTACGGCTTGCACCGGTATCCAGCAAACCTTCACACTCCTTGCCATCCACCAATAGCGATGCGAGGAACTGGCGGTGTGACCCGGTCTGCTCAGCCATGTACACGGTGTCATAAACCAAATGAGCCTGGTCAGCTAGGTCGGCGGGCTCCTCGTCGACGGCGTTAGCATCTAATCCAGAGCGTTGCGACTGACATACGGCCGCAAAATGTCCGACCTTGCTACAACTGCGACAGCGGATGTTGGCTGCAGGGCAAAACGACTTTCCCTTAGCATGTGTACGGCCACAGTACTTGCAAGAACCAGATACTGTACGTGGCTGTCTGCGTTGCTGTCTGGTCGCACTAACGGCAGCCACTGAGCTGAACTGATTGGCAGGCTCTGCCGGCGGATCATACAGCTTACTCTCCGCATAGGAGGTCTCCAGTGCCACTGCTTTGGTGATGGCATCTGCGAGGGTGAGTCTGGACTCCTTGAGCAACTCGCGACGAACTTCGGGGGATTTCAAACCTGCAACCAACTGGTCTCGCACCTGGGAGTTAACCACGCTGTCCACATCCGTCGCCTCGAACTTACATAAGTCCACTCTCTCTCGTAAACGGCCAACGAAGGTGGAGACGGATTCCTCCGGCCCTTGTTTGAGCTGCCGGAATTTGTGACGTTCTGACGTCGTATTGATGGTGGGACGGAAGTGCGCCAGAACGGCGTCCGTCAGTGCTACGTACTCGTCTCCAGGAGAACCATCATCATTTGCTGGCGGAGAAGGAATAACCAGACCCTTCACAACTTTGCGAACTGAGAGTCCGGCCAAATTCAAAAATAAACGCTTTTTGTCAGCAGCAGTAGAAACATTACAAATTGCTAAGTAGTCATTGACATCCTCGAGCCAAAGCTCAAAATCGGCCCCGATGTCGCCGGCGTAATCGGGTACAAAATCCTTGGGCACTCTGCCCTTCGTTGTCATCTTGACCTGTTCACTGCGCCAATGTAGATGGGCAACACTACAACAATGCAAGTCTGGAGGTAGCCATTGCAGGCTTCGTCTTCAAGCTCTGCGAGTTCTCTACTGCAAGCATGCACGCATGCGCACACTATACATATGTACATGATTACATCACTACACTCACCATGGCCTTGATCCATGATGCCTCGACCCTTTCAGTGCTAATGATGATGTAACGGAAATGCTTCTCCCCCTGGCCCTCGCCACACAACAACGCAAACTCTTGATTGTATCTTCAATACTCTTATATTATACCAAGAAATGACGAGGGCGCAGGAGGAGAGAGACGAAAAGACTAGACAGAAAACGACGACGGGAAAGACTCCCGGGAAAAGACTCCGAGGATCAACAAAGAACAAGCAGTAATAAACCGAGGACAAATCGTGACGACCAATCAGGGACTAATACGTACAGAACACATGACCAAGACCAAGACAACCAGACCACGGACGAATCACACACGACTCTCATTCCCAGACCAAACTAGCACTGCGCATGTACTGCATTCACTTGACAGTCACTCTCACACAGACGGAAGCACATCCTCACACTCTGACAACGCGTACTCCTGCATGCACCACATACCATAAACGTCACACATCACACCATACTCGCGCGTACACCTAGACCATATATGACATCAGACACTGGACTCCACCAGACAAGAACCAAATACAACGACATGCGTAAATCATAGTCGTAATACAAATAATGTTACATAGCCCTCTCCTTTGCGGAGAGTCGACCTCGACTCTCGACTCAGGGAAAATAAAGAACAGGCAGAACAAATGACAAACATCAGAGAAAAGAAACAGTAGGTCCCTTGGTTGTCGGGTAGTTGTGAGCCTGACGAACGACCGTATGGCAAGCTTGTACGGCTTGGCCAGTCCGTTGTTGTTCCAGGTATGGTGCGCCAAGCAGGGCAAAAAACGAAACACAGGTACAAGAGCATTCGATCAGTAAATGGAGCAACAGAACACAGCAGGCATGTAGTCAATCAGGGAAAAGAACAAATCGAAAATCCATCGATACACTGTCACACAAACTTCAGAAGGGGAGAAACCCACAGGACTCTAACCTGACTAGAAAACTCGGCGCGGAGCCGGCATAAGTGTCCCACACTTTTCCGATGGCGGATCATCTGGTCGTCCCACGACCCCGTATGATCCTGTCGTCCCACGACCCATAATATTTAGATTTTTATTTATTTGTTTTTTTTTTTTTTAATTTTATACTTCCCCGACAAAAGGCTAAACAAACACTGGGGCCCACCAGCTCACGAAGGGAACCGTGGCTCACCATGATCAGACATTCACCTGGTGAACTGAACAGACCCGCAGGTCGACACAAAACGAGAACAAAATACGCTCCCTGAAAGACCAAACCGAACTAAGCTGACAAACCAAACAGGTACACGACTACACTGAAAGGCTAATCAAGAAACTGCACAAACCCCAGCAAATATACGTACACTGACTGCCAAAACCCAAAACAGAAAGACACAAGAGAGACACAAGAACCGGATCGCGAAAAGATAACAAGCACCAAAAACAAAACCCACGACGCAGATTGTGAAAATACTACATTGCCCCGACAAACAGAACGACGGGGAAAGCACCCGGGCCCTGGGTGTATCCGTGCAGTAATGCTGACGACAACAAAATAGGCAGGCAAGTGAATAAACTACAGCGAAAGCCATAACTGGGATTGACAGCTATGAACCCAGTGTATCCTCGTAACCAAGAAAATTGGCCAGTACAAAACACCGCAAATATACGCTCACTGACTCGAAAAAACCACGTTCACTGAAAGCATAACCCATGGCGGGTGGAGTACTACGACGCTCGACACAAACAGAATCGCCCACACAAGGTAAAAGACCGACTACCGAGATTGTGAAAATATTATAAACAGAACGACGTGGAAACATTCGGGACCTGAGCCCTTCTGGGAAGTAATACATTATACTGGACACATCATCTCCGAAGGCTTTCACATGCAACAATTAGACTAGTACGACAACAACGACATCCCGTTCCGGGAGCGACTCACCGGGAAAGAGGCTTGCTTGTAGTGCAGCGCGAGGTTGAACCAGCCTGATGAACGACCAGTTCCGCTTGCCGAAATAAAAATAATAAAGTCGCCACACGTCGACAAAACTGAAAGGAGAAACGAAAGGACCACGGCGAGCATAAACTACTTGTGGAGAAGTAGAATCAGGTTCGAGCCAGTCTCCACGTTGGGCGCCACTGTAACGGAAATGCTTCTCCCCCTGGCCCTCGCCACACAACAACGCAAACTCTTGATTGTATCTTCAATACTCTTATATTATACCAAGAAATGACGAGGGCGCAGGAGGAGAGAGACGAAAAGACTAGACAGAAAACGACGACGGGAAAGACTCCCGGGAAAAGACTCCGAGGATCAACAAAGAACAAGCAGTAATAAACCGAGGACAAATCGTGACGACCAATCAGGGACTAATACGTACAGAACACATGACCAAGACCAAGACAACCAGACCACGGACGAATCACACACGACTCTCATTCCCAGACCAAACTAGCACTGCGCATGTACTGCATTCACTTGACAGTCACTCTCACACAGACGGAAGCACATCCTCACACTCTGACAACGCGTACTCCTGCATGCACCACATACCATAAACGTCACACATCACACCATACTCGCGCGTACACCTAGACCATATATGACATCAGACACTGGACTCCACCAGACAAGAACCAAATACAACGACATGCGTAAATCATAGTCGTAATACAAATAATGTTACAATGAGATATCTTGTTCTGTAAAGTAGTGAGATGTGGGCGACCCTACTAGAATGACTCACATTAATCCACCATAAAGTAACGTCGATCCGCTGTCTGTTGGTTTTCTACCTGTGAGGTGACTTTAGTGTATACTTGCAAATATGGAGTTGAACTGATACAATACCCATGCAATTAGAGCATAATACATGCCAGTGCATGACTGTATTGCTGTGGATGTGTTGTAACTGCCTTTTCTCCACCTGCTCCCAGTGCCGTGCCATCTCCACTTATACAAAGGGACGACGATAACTACATTTGAAAGACTGTTTATTGCAAGATGACTACGGAAACACAACTCGACATGACAAACTCAAGATGAAGACTGCTTTTCACACCACAGCAACACACGCATGCACCAACATGACGTACACACGACGTACACAAAATAACGTACTACAACAGATGGAGCTGTGCACAATCCAGAAAATCTGACTTTTCATTTTGGTGCACATTGCACTGCACTGGAAGCCTTGATCTCCTGCCAAAAAAAGCCAGGTGGAAACGACTCAGTCTGTGAACGAATCAACGCTACTTGATGGTATAAATTGGAAAGGCTTCCTGTCTGAAGCCTTTCCATACTGGTACTCGATGTTCCAGTTTTGTGACACGAGAATGGCACGAGAATTAGTGTACCGCTGAGTGTACCGCTATACACGTGGTCGACACTTAGTCGATACGTTGTTGATACTTTTTTGACACGTGACCCCGTCAACGGTCTGCTTTGTGCCAATGACACTCGGTAAACGCCGATGTCGCGTACGACAAAGACGACTATCCCGTACGCGAAATAGTTGAGAACTGCATGACGTGGACCTGACGGCATGGACAACTGCGAGGAGGCCCCTTTCGGTACCCCTGATGGGAAGGAGAACTGCAGAAGTCGACGAAGTCGAACGAGGAGGCCCCTTTCCGTACCCCGTACTGCAAAGTGCCATTGATGGATGCCTTTTGCACCTGGAACGACCCCTTAAACGCTGTTGCGGCGACTATCCCGTACGCGAAATAGTTGAGAACTGCTGACGTGGACCTTTTGCACCTGGAACGGCCCTGTAAACGCTGTCGTGTCGGCGGAGTGAATGTGCAGGGTGAAAAGAATTGCTGCAAAGACGTCCCCTCGGCCTCTAGGCCTTTGGAGACATCGTCGGCGGACTGAATGCGCAGGGCGAAAAGAATTGCTGCAAAGACGTCCGCTCTAGGCCTTTGGAGACATCGTGGAAACTCCTTCCGGTACTATACAAACTGCTGACGTGGCCGTGGACATGTACATGAGACATGGTGGGACTTCATGTACATGGATACATGGTGGGAATTCCTTCCGGCACCCCCGTACCGCAAAGCCAACGGTGGGGAAGGAGAAGTGCAGACGTGCAGGAAGACGAACGAGGAGGAACCAGGACGAGCGAGCAATGGCAGGACTAGCTGGACCGTAAGTAATAGCTGAATTGTGCATGACAACTTGACATCCATGCGGCACTCGCCACTTGCCACTGCATATTTCTTGCCCACTAACAATGTCTCTCCTCTGCCCCCTGTGTGTCCACGGCCCTGTTGCTGAATTGGCCCGATGAATCGAATGTCTTCCGCAACTGGAACGGCCCAGTAAACGCTGTACCGTTGGCGACTGAATGCGCAGGAGGGAAAATATTGCTGCGAAGACGTCTCCTCTAGACCACGGTAAGGCAACCCATTGATATGTTGCCAGTTACCTTCTACTAACACGTTATCAGGTGGAGAGTGTCTTGTACTCACGTTATCAGATCGAGAGCGTGTTGTAGTCACTCTCTCTATTCCTGTACTTCGTTACGTTTAAGGTGTACGTATAACTTCTCAAAAAACATTAATGGTCTACAGTCGTGTCGGAAGGGTACGGTGGGACTGTAGACCTGTTACCTTCTAACACGTTATCACTATATCAGGTCGAGAGCGTATTGTAGTCACTCTCTCTATTCCTGTACTTCATTACGTTTCAGGTGTACGTATAACTTTTCCAAAAATTTAATGGTCCACGTCTTCAGATAGAGAGCGTATTGCACCCACTGTCTAGTCTCTGTAGTGCATTGAGATTTTGTTGATCGCACATGAAAATGGACACACAGACAAAGCAGGCCAAGTACATGGCGAGATGTCGCCAGAAGAACGTCTTCAGATAGAGAGCGTATTGCACCCACTGTCTAGTCGATTTTGTGGATCGCACATGAAATGGATACACAGACAAAGCAGGCCAAGTACATGAGAGAGTGGACGATGTGCGGATCGACACGGCCTGCGGGTACTTCATTAACCCTTTCAGCACGCATCACGTATATGTACGTGATGGTACATGTAACTGGCCCACGGATCACGTATATATACGTGATGCGTACAGTGAAAATGAACGTACTCCCGAGACATCCGTGGTCGACGGATCTTATCCCTACGTGGACCAGTGACGTGCTGGATGAACGTCGACTGTTCTACGATAGTACTGACGGGCGCACGTGTGCCGCTATGCACGCGTACTAGTACATAGATGTCGCGTGCGAACATGCATTCCGCAGAAAAAATTGTGAGTGAATAGGACTACTTTTGGAAAATCACGAAAATCACTGGTTTTGGCTCCGCGGGTCAGTTGCACACCCTGGCCGTGCTGAAAGGGTTAAAGTTACCCGTGACTATAGCCTACCTCACGACCTTCTGCTTTCTTTCTTCATCACTTGTATCCTGCAGGTATATTATCCCATGACGACCACATTGAAGTCTGAATTTGAAGTGTGAAGATGCTTCAGCAACCACATCATACTTTTCCATTGCTTTCATTGTACTTCTACTGTGCATGTGTGTAACTTGTGGGGTAAACATGTGATGACATTGTATGCTGGGGACACGGTCAGATGTTGTCCATGCGTCTAACGTACACCTGCATGTTATGCATTGAAAAGGATTTGCCACTTGCGATCCTGGGACGAGTATCAGGTCAGCTTTGTCCTGTTTGGGCTGTATCAGATTGCTGTTCACTTCTCTATCTGTTGGATGTGTGACTTTCTGCAAGTTTCTGGTGTATGATGGCCACTTCCTTGCTTGTCACTTTGTATGATATTACATTCTGTATTCGCTGCTTCCATGGCGTGGTCTGCAAACTGCAATCCTTGGGCAAATGTCATGTTTGCTATGTTGTGCTTTGGCCGTCAGCTTGTCTACACGCTGTAGTTGAATTATTTTTTGTTTCACAACTGACTTCCTCAAGTACGGTGGCCACTGCTTTGCATGGCATTATATATGAAGAATTTCCTGCTTGTGTCGTGTGTATGTGCGTGGCCACGTGTGTGTGCCGTGTGCATACGCATGTTTGTGTATCTGTGTGCGGGGTAGCGAGGCGGGGAGGGCTGGTATGTATCGGTGTGTTATTGCAGTCTCATGGCTACATACAGTACATCGCGTGCGTGGTCATCATGTTTACCTTCGGGGTTGGGGTGGGGAGGGAACGGAAAAAGAACTGAAAATTATCCATATAAAAACCGCTCTGTGAGCGGTTCTGAAAAACCTTTACTGGTACTGCCCCGTCGTAAAAGTAAGAAATTAGAACTGGCCCATTGTCCCCCCAAATGCGAACTGATCCACCTTAATCGCGAATGACGGGACCCGAACGCACCAGTAGCACGAGGTTCCTACCTGTGGATGCAGCTGGGGACGTTGGTCCGGACTATAGGCCATGTACTGTACTAGCGGTAGGTGGTGTTACCCTATGATAATTGCTGTCCTGTGCCCTTCCGACCTCGTGCTACTGGTGCGTTCGGGTCCCGTCATTCGCGATTTAGGTGGATCAGTTCGCATTTGGAGGGACAATGGGCCAGTTCTAATTTCTTACTTTTACGACGGGGCAGTACCAGTAAAGGTTTTTCAGAACCGCTCACAGAGCGGTTTTTATATGGACAATGTACAATGTATAGTGTGCATGGCCCAAGGAAGACACACATGGCTAGCCTATACTGGTGGTACATGTAGTACAGGAGTATTACATCGCGTATACCGGTGCTACTCTGGCCGAACGGTTTTTATGCTGAGAATTGGCAAAAGTGTGAATAATGAGGCAAAGTGAAGCAGTTCCAGCTGATGCCATACGAAATTTTTCACAGGACCTGGTTGGGTACATCAATGTGCTAGATGAGTGAAGTTGGATTACAATTGCCCAACTGTAACTAATTTAGAAAGATGTCCTGTTTTCTATGTTACTTTCTCCCAACAGCAGAACCAAAGCCGTTGACGAAACCAATTAGGAAAGAGGCAAGAAAGAGTGGTCCTGGGTCAGCATCTAAACATTCTCCTGTTCAGCTACTCTCACTGCCCGGGCTAATACGAAATAGACTACCACCTGCAACAACGCAAGATAGTACAGGGCAGCTGCCCAAACCAACCAAGATGATCCCTGATCCAGATATCAGCATTTGTTCAATGAATGGAATGGTGGGCAACAGCAGAACTAATGCAGACAATAGACTGCATGTGCTGAAGAGTGAAATCAAAGCTATTGTCCAGTTGAAGCCTAGGAAGAAGGAATTGAAATGCAAGGCATGTGGAGTAACCAGCAAAACCACTGAGCATCATATCAAGCATGGTCAGGGACATGTTGCTAGCCGTGATGCTGGGTACAAGTGCCAGTGTAGAGAATGTGGTGACCTGTTTAGACACCATAGTAGCCTTCCTAAACACCAAAGAATACACACTGGAGAGAAGCCATATAAATGCAATGTGTGTGATGCAGCATTCAAGAATGGTAGTAACCTTGCTACACACCAAAGAATACACACTGGAGAGCGGCCATATAAATGCAATGTGTGTGATGCAGCATTCTATGATCGTAGTGCCCTTTCTAAACACCAAAGAATACACACTGGAGAGAAGCCATATAAATGCAATGTGTGTGATGCAGCATTCACTCAGAGACCCAACCTTGCTGCACACCAAAGAATACACACCGGAGAGAAGCCATATAAATGCAATGTGTGTGGTGCAGCATTCAATCAGAGACCCAGCCTTGCTACACACCAAAGAATACACACTGGAGAGAAGCCATATAAATGCAATGTGTGTGGTGCAGCATTCAATCAGAGACCCAGCCTTGCTACACACCAAAGAATACACACTGGAGAGAAGCCATATAAATGCAATGTGTGTGATGCAGCATTCATTCAGAGATGTGACCTTGCTAAACACCAAAGAATACACACTGGAGAGAAGCCATATAAATGCAATGTGTGTGATACAGCATTCAATCAGAGATCCAAACTTGCTAAACACCAAAGAATACACACTGGAGAGAAGCCATAGAAATGCAATGTGTGTGATGCAACATTCAGTAGAAGTAGTAGCCTTGCTACACATCACAAGAGAAGGCACACTGACAAGTGAGTTCTGAACCAGAGGAGAGAACCACACTCATTGTGTTATCATCAAGTCTATGTGATGATTGAATAAGTAATATTGAATATTGCAGTGAAGAACTGAGAAGATGACTCGTCAGGAACAAAGGAAAGACTGAACAGCAACAAGAGACAAGCACTGTCAATTATGGACACGGAGTGCACACATCCATGCATCGTATGGTATGCGTAGTATGCTGTAAGGTAATACGCACACACATGCAAGGAGATGCAATGCCATAATAACAAACATGAGAGTGCAAATATGTACGATGTACACGGGTACAATGTACAATGTACTAACAGTGTACTCTTGTAACAAATGGAGCACATCAGTTGAGCTGATTGACTAGACTGGTGAAATGACTGATCATAACAAACTGCACACAATACATTGGGCAGTAATGTGACAGAGCCCCCCCCTCTTCCCCTGGATCCTTCATTGCAGCATACCATCATAGGAGACATGGACAGTACAGGGGCGTAGCAGCCGTACCGGCGTTGGCCGTTTTTTTTAACACAATGCCAAAAGTGCCCAGAATGCAGGATTTTGCACCCTAATTTCAAATTTTCACGGGGAGACCACCTCCAATGGCGGTGCTACGCGCCTGCAGTAGCAAAGTAACCATATCAAAGTCACCTACCGCCGGTATGTGATCACACATGCAATCAAAAAACATTCCCTTGAACTGAAAAGAGTATATACCAATACCCCGCACAAGATTTCCAAGCAGCTGCTGGATCTATTGCTTTGTACCAGCCAACATCACAGTGTTTTTACTATGTTGATTTTTTTAATGAGGTGCACATACACATATTTACCATTCCGTAATTTTGTACACTGAATTGATTTTCAGACCACACAAAATTTTTAATTTCATCCTACCTCCATCATTTCAGGGTAGTTGCCGCCGAGCGATTTCATTCACCAACTTTTCCATTCAAGTTTTTGAATTGGCATTCAATATTCAATCAACCCGTCTGCTGTCTGATGAGTGTTTGCACGCAATACTCCAAGTAACAACAGAGTACCATTGCTGTGTGCCTGTTGAAAGCAACCTGAATGTACAATCTGCTAGTAGTCTACTAGCAGTAGACTACTAGCGACGGTAAAAAAATTAAAAGTACACTCAGGTTTATATTAGGGCTGAAACGATCGTGGATTTTCACGTATCGATTACTCTTTAGCTTAACGATCGAGTAATCGATTATAATCGTTAGCAAATAGAGTCATAATTCTGTGCAAACGTTACTCTGTTTCCACAAACTATGCCTTCATAATACCAACAAATCTGCATTAGTGAAAGGGTAGCTCCGAAACATGGCAGTTTCGAAGTCAATTTAACCTCAGAACATGAACCACACCCTTGGCAACTGCATACTCCCAGCGGAAACTGATTCAAACTTCACAAAACGAGGGTTTACCGTACTTTCTGGACACAAATTTAAAAAACGCAAAATAATCGTAATCGGTAATCTAAACGATTGCTCGATCGTTAGAGTTATCAAACGAGTACTCGATTATTCGGTATAATCGTTTCAGCCCTAGTTTATATGTGCACACCCTACACACTGATCATTGCTTTGGCGTGTTACTTTCTTGTATCATAAAATATACTGTATAGTATGCATGCCCAGGGCAATTGGTAGTAATAATTATTGTATTGCTATAAACTTCAGTAGACGAGAGTATATACTGGTACTAGTAACCAAGGGCACGCGTGTATCTCGATGATCTCCCAGCTCCCTGCTGAACGTTTTGCTGTCCCTGCGGGAATTTGCGGAAAAATTCTCGAAAACTTGCGCAAGAAATTGCGGCAGAAAACAACAAAAAAATGCGGCGAAAAGTGCGAAAGATGCGGAACTTGCCAGGAATTAGCAGTACTATTTGCAGAAAATTGCGGATTTGTTGCATCCTTAGAATCGCTATTTGTGCAGCAGATCTACCATGATCTACTCGGAAGTAGTACGAGTGCAAATAACCTACTAGTACATGATCATGGAAAACACTGCGTGAAAAGTGCAGAAAACAACAAAAACGCGGGGAAATCGCGGGCTTTGCAGAAAATCGCGAAATTTGTTGCATCCGTGGAATCGCGATTTTCCTGGAGTTGGTCCGGCCCACACACACATAAAATTTGAGTCACCACTCTTCCGATGATTTGTAGATCTACACGTACATGTATACATAAACGTTCCAAAATGTCCCAGAGTAGTGTCGTAAAATACCAGTATTTTACTACTCCCTGCTTGAAAGCATTCCTTGGAGGTATATTATGGCACCGCAGGCCGCGAACCTGAGGGCCTTTCTGTCTCTGTCTCTCCCTCTCCTCTCCTCTCTCTCTCTCTCTCTCTCTCTCTCTCTCTCTCTCTCTCTCTCTCTCTCTCTCTCTCTCTCTCTCTCTCTCTCTCTCTCTCTCTCTCTCTCTCTCTCTCTCTCTCTCTCTCTCTCTCTCTGTCTGTCTGTCTGTCTGTCTGTCTGTCTGTCTGTCTGTCTCCTTGTCTCTCTCTCTGTCTCTCTGTCTCTCTCTGTCTCTCTCTCTCTGTCTCTCTCTCTCTGTCTCTCTCTCTCTGTCTCTCTCTGTCTCTCCTCCCTCCAACAAACATACATGTGTCCTGACCACCGAGTTGATCTTTTATTGCCATTTTCAGCGCTGAAGCAGTGAAGAGCATGTACACATACAGCGGTAGAAAAATTGAAATCCAACCTCACGACTATAAAGAAGAGCACTCAAAGGACGAGAAATCCAACCTCACGACTACAAACAAGAGCACTCAAAGGGACAACAGTTACTAGAAGCTGAAATTTGGGACACACAACTATCAACAAGAAATACTTTGACCCATGGGTAGATAGATAGATAACCTTAGATGGGGGGGGGGGGGGGGGGGGGGCTACGGAGAGCTAGGGAGAGAGAGAGAGAGAGAGAGAGAAATAGAGAGCTTGGTGAAAGTCAGTGCACACATTACACACACCATCATGGACGATCCCCATCCTCATCCAACTGCGACAAGTCGAACAGATGCCTCATCGTCGGCCGCCCGTGTGGACAGTTCCAGGGCTGGTCCATCTCGGACATGTGACGGAGGACACGTGTCATCTCCGCACCGTTCAGCGCCCGGCCGATCATGATCGACGAGCGGCATGCACGACTGGCAAACATGGCGCGCAGACGAGACGGGCGCACGACGATCTGCTGGCCCGGCACGGCCTCCTGCAGCATGAAGACCATCTCCTCGATGTCCGACGCGCCAAACGTCCAGCTTCTGCTTGCCGGCACTGCCTGAAGGTGCACACGCTGTGTAGGCGCGGCGTCCGGGTCAACGGCCAACCTGAAGCCGCTGCGCTCAAACACCTCCATGTTATCCATGACGATCTGCTCGCTGCACGCGGGCAGCGAGAGCGGCTGCGCGATGACCAGCGGCTGCTGCTTGGGCTGCGCGGTGCGCTGCAGGCGCTCGAAGTTGTACTTCTCGTCGCTGGCGTGCTGGTCGACCAGGAACAGGTCGCGGTGGCAGCGGGCGACGATGAAGCCGAGGTTGAACTGACCGACAGGCTGCATGCGCGAGAAGGAGTCCTTGGACACAAACCGTTCCAGCTCCTTCTCAGCCGCCGTGTTTGTGTCCGGGCCGATACGCACCTGGCGCAGCGAGCAGAGAATGATAACGATGTGAGCGTGTGATGCATGTGCCATCCGAACACACATTGTAGTGTCTAGTATTAAAGAGTGTTTCGAATATAAGCCTGATTTTCAGATGCACTGTCGGCACACAAGCCTCGTTTTAGTGTTGACATACATAGAAATACCTGGTTTGAGTAGAAGCCCGGTGTGGATTGAAGCCTAGCCCTGGCATCGGCTTCTACAGGAATAAGCCCGGCTTCAATACAGTATGCTCAAACGCACACATACACATACCGTATTTTCCGGAGTATAAGCCGCACCCAGATTTTTTCGTCACGAAATACAGACACATACGCTGTTTATCACGGTTAATTTTACCACCGTGGTATAAGCCGCAACAACTTTTTGGGGTGAATGACTAGTGTTTAAAGTGAGGCTTATGCTCCGGAAATACGGTACACGTGCACACACACACACACACACACACACACACACACACACACACACACACACATACACACACACACACACACACACACACAAGACACACAAACACACGTGCCAAGCAAGACAGAAAGCGAGCTACACGTGGACAGATGCTACCTGAACCCAAAGTCGGACACCTTCTCCAAGCACCTAATGAATGATCAAGAATTCGAAATCGAGTGGTAAGGTAACACGGATTCCACTACATGCAGACATGTGTGTACAGTCAACTTCGCTAATAACGACTGCGGATATAACGACAATTCGCGAATAGCGACAAAATTTCCATGCCCAGAGCAAAGTCCCATCCAACTGAAATACATAATATAATGAGTAGGGCTCAAACGGTCACGGTTTTACCCCTGACGGTTAACTGCTAAGCTAACGGTCGGTTAACCGGTTATAACCTATAAGCCACGGCAATCCTGCGGACTCTTTTTTAACCGTATATTTGACTATACTCATTCAGAAAATGTACCCTATTCAGTACAACGCACACTTGTACATTCTCTTGCATGCTCATTCATACATACTCTCACACCAAGAGACCAGATATGACCGAGTTGACAGCCCAGAAATTGCGTACGCGTGCGACAGCCCGCGAAAGTGCACACTTTGCAACGACCTGATACTTGAAAAATTGACTGAAAAGTTACTGCGTAACCGTTATCTTTATCGGTTAACCGTTAATTCTTCGTAACCGGTCTGCAACCGGTTAATCGGACTAACCGTTTGAGCCCTAATAATGAGACTTCGGGTATAACGACACTTCGCGAATAAGGACACTTTTTTGATGTCCCGCTGAGTGTCATTATAAGCGAAATTGACTGTACTCATCATGATTGTGTTCCATATTAGACAGGTTCCGCACTACGTATTAACGTTGAGCAACTTTACGTACTAGAAAGTGGGCGGGGGAAACCGTGAATTTGCGAGGTTGCACTCTACTCACAGAAAGCGGTTTACATAGAACACGTCTGTGGGACTCTACTAACAGACGTGCTCCGTAAGTGGATTGTTGAAAAAAATATATCGATACTATGCACTGTTTGTATGCGTTCGTTTCTCAGGGAGGGGGGGGGGGGGGGAGGAGAATGACGAGAAATGACTAGTTTTCGTTTCTAAATAAATATCGGTATTTTACGGATGGCCCCTAACTTGGAGTTTCATGGTCGGAAAAGCAACCATCATACATACACCGGTCAAGCCCCCCCCCCCGTCACAGGCGCTGAGCACCCTAACAGGTATTGGGCCTCGGCCTCCGTCATCACACACATCTTTACTAAGTTTAATAGGTTTCAAAATAAGCGACGCGGAGAAAAATGTCACTTCTCTGCGGTTGACGTCACAGTATAAGAATTAGCAGAGAAGTAGTGTTCTCTGTCCACCCGGGAACGGGTACGAGGGAGCACGGTGTGGGATAAAAGGAGGTGACGAGTGCAGGGTCGGCCTCTTTTGTCTTTGTGCGGAGAGTTGAGTGAGAGTGCCCACCCACCCACCCCAGTAATCATCATGTAATTTCATACATCATCGCTTTGATTATTCTAGTGATTTGATTATTCTAGAGTGTGCGGATGCATAATGGTCGGGCGTGGTTTTCTGGTTGTACGTAGCTGGAGTTTTTGGTTAGACTAGGCAATGGTTCTGTATAGTCATGACCGCGGAATTGTGTGCAAAGACAATAAGTTGGGGCGCTGTGCTGTGGTGGCCCCCACTGGCAGTGTTCACGTGTTCAATAGTGGTGTACACGTATGAGTGAGTGTGCGGATGTGTGCGCAACGAGTGAGTGCAGGGTGGACAGAGAAGAGTTCTTTTTAGTGCGATCAAAACAAGTAGTAACAACGCGGACATTAGGGACGTTTAGCAATGCGAAAATTCGAACTTTTGGTGGTGGCGATATTTCGCGAAAAATCTATTTCGAAAAAGAAAACTTGTGAGGTTTAGCAATGCGAAACGACTTTTTCTCGAAGCTATTTGAATCTTATAGTACCGTACCGTATACATGGTATATCATGGTATATGCAGTTCAGTCTCAAGCAGGGGGCTGTAAAATTACTACTCCCTGTAGTGAAATGCGTACCGAGAAAAGAGAAAGTTACTTTCGCAAATCACTGCAACTTCGCGTCCAAGTTTTCGAAGTTTCGACCTTTGTTTCTGTACTCATTCCCAGACTCGAATTTTCTTTCGAACTTTCGCGTTGCTAAACGTCCTTAATAGAATGTTGAGATAAAGTATTTTGTTAGTGTGGCACCAGTGGTGGTGCAATGGCTGTGCATCCTGTTATCTCAACGTTTGAATGTCCGCTGCGTTTAACTTATTAAAACACTTTTGATCGTACCAATAAAAAAGAGGAGGGGTTCTTTTTCGGACCAGTTTTTGAATACAGGGTGGATGTCAGACAGTGCCCCCCCCCCCCCCCCCCCCCCCCGCCCTATGCACCCATACACAGACATACACACAAGACGTACCATGAAAGACGTAGCCTTTGCTGCATCGTCCGCCGTCGTGCGATCGTCCTTCATGCGCGACTTCAGCAAGCCCATCGAACAGCTCACAGAGTGATCTTGCAAGCAGAAGCGACCGGCAGAAGTTGCGTCTTCCCCATCTTCTCCCTCGTCAGCAATCACACAGATCGGGGTTTCCCCCGTTCCTGGACCATGACTGGAGGTACGTAATGGCGGCGTTGATGGTATGTAGTTGGGGTTCTCAATAAGGTGCTCTGCAGTGGTGGACAGTTCCGTGAGCAGAGGTGTCCGTGGTGAGCTGCACACGTCCGTCCCTACAGATGAGGCCAGGGAGGTACTGGGTGAGTTTGCCACGGGAGACCGAGAGCGCTCGACGGAAAGTGCACGCCGCGATCCAGAGCCGGTGACATCACCTCGCCAGGTTGTGCTGGCATGCTGCTGGTGCTCAATGGTATCACTGCTGTCAGCAGTGCTGCCATTTGGGGTTGATGATGTAATGGATGATGTCATAGACATTGCACTGGATGGTGCCATAGAGGAGGATGTGACAGTGTCCCCGTATGCGTCCCCGTTGCCATCAGCAACCAGCGTCAGCACATCGGTACGTGGGCTACTTGAAGTCACACGGCACACACTGGACGAGCAACCCGATCCATGTGCTGCACTGCTGGCCGACGATGTCACAATGACATCACACGGTGTGGCGGTGATGTCATCACAGCTCCGTGTCGAATCTAGCGGTGCGAGGCGAGCGGAACCTTGTCCGACAGAAGACGACACTGCAGAGCCATGAGCGTCTGCCGAAGTCACTGTGGGGGTCAAAGCACTGGAAACATTTCCATGACTAAGCTCAGCGTCTACACTGGTTAAACTGCCGGCTGATCTCGTGTCCAGGGTACTCAAACCGGAAGAAGAACACGCATTGTCAGAGTCCTGCAAGCAATCGGCATTGGACGAGACGAAGCCGAACGCACTCAGCCGAGGCTGTTTCGGCGGCGTTGGCATTGCTGCTGATGCTGCACCCTGAACATCGGAGAAGCGGCGTTTCAGCGACTCCACGGTCCAGCGAGGAGCGAGCTGGGATGTCGGCGACTTGAGTTGCCGCTCGCCAGGCTGGGACTGTTGGGCTGCTGCTTGTGACGTGGGCTGAGAGGCGGCGGCGGCAATAACGTCGAAGCATCCGTCACGCGATCGGAAGAGATTGGCGAGCGATCGCCTCAGCACGGCCAGAAACGCCTTCTCGTTCTCGAGAAGAATGCTGCGCTTGTCTGGCGTCAGGTTGACGTCGACACTGCTCCGCTCTGACACTCCAATCATCAGCAGCACAAACGGCGTCTGATGGCGATTGTAGCTGTGGTACACGTCGTTCACGACCTTGCTAGCCTTTGCGCCGTCCCACGGCCGATCGTTGACGTAGAAGAACTGACGGTCGGCTGCGCTCCGTCCCTGACCGTGACGGCAGTCCGATATCAGGCCGTGGATTGAGAACCGCTGGAAGACGCTCGCCGCCGGCAGACTGCCTTCCGACATGCCGTCGTCGAGGAGCTGCTGCCGGGCGTCGTCATGACTGCACTGCGTAACGGCGAGCAGGGAGGCGAGCTGCTTCGGCCCGAATACACTGGTCACATTATCACGCAGACCAGCGATGCTAACCACCGCTACTGTCGTCGGTTCCGCCGCACTGATATCGCTCGGCGTTCCGAGCGTTTCCGTCTCTGTGCGTAATGGCGAGTTTGGCGACAGAGCAAATCGGCCAGGGCTCGAAGAAGCACCAACTGACAGTTCGCACCCGGACTGGGCTTTCGGAGGATTATCCGCCACAGAGCAATTGGTTGGACTTGAGGTCGGTTGCTGATCAATAGCAGTGTTATCGACCGACTCCCCGGGACTCGGAGCAACGCTCGTCGCGACCGGAGGCTGCCGTCTTGCCTGTTGCTTATTGGCTGATGCCACGACAACGTGCCGCTGCCCTTTCTCGCCGTTCTGATTGGTGCAGTGTATGCGTGCCTGCTGGCTGACCAAGCAGTAGGCCTGCAGCACGTGCAGTAGCCGTGCGTACTCGCGCTTCACGTTCTTCTGCAGCTGCTTGTGGCGCACGGGCAGAGTGGAGAATAGTCTGTGCACACACGAACGCACAGACAAACACACACACGCATGCACATACATGTATATGCACACATACACACAGACACATGCACACGCACACACACACGGACACACGCGCACGGATTCACGTACATGCGCACACGCACACACACACACACACACACACACATTCACAGAGGTGATGCCTAGCAAAACGACCATCGGGGCTTCAGAGAACT